GCAATTTTTCATGTCCGTCAACATAACTCCACATAATTTTTACGAGTAGGAAAGATTGCATATATTTTATTGCACATTTATTCCTAATGAAGGGGAGGTCTTCCAACTCCGGTAGGGGAGAACGATTATTGTAAACACAATACTAAAGGGGCTTTTCATATATATACTATCAAGGGTGGCAGGTCTATTCTGCTCTATTTAGTTTAAATTACCATTTCATTTGTAAACGAAGAGGTGCTGGGACTTTGCTTCAATTGCCCCGGCTCTCTCAAATTGTCCAAATTGCTCTCGTACGACGATAATGGACGGGGATTTCTTGCCAACAGCAAAAACAGCCCCGTGTGAACATTTCGGGGCCGTGGTAGCCTTGGCCCGGCAGTGAATGGCGATTGAAGGCAGTATTATTTGACACGAACCCACTACCTTCGTATTTCCGTCTACGAAGAAGTCATGCTTAATCCGTCTTCAAGTGATGTATATATATACATGAAGTATATATACATGAAGTTTGATAGCTTATTCCCGGATTGGCACTAAATACAGTCGGTACTACTAGTGTGAGTCGATACGTAGGTGTATGCATAGTGCTTCTTACACGTCTACGCAAATCGCGTAAAACCTGATTGATGGTCGTTAACCGTCATCCTGAATGGGGGATGATAGCGACTGGGCCTGAATGGTTTACAACGATTATGAATGCCGAGAATAAAAATATGTAAGTACCAATAGTGGCTATAAGAACACCCCAAGCACTGCCACTGTTCATCGCAGAGCACTCAAACGGGCTCAACTTAATATCTCTCAGCATTACTACACATAGTAGACTGGTTGATTTCATTGGAATCTAACTGTCGGCATGATGACCTTTTACTTACACAAACAGCGTGGGCTACAGGGCTGTGTACGCTGTAGATCCTTTTCGATACCTTGTGATAATGATTTCGCACGAATGATGATGGGTGAGATGTCTGCGTGGGCAGTGCATATTGTCTTACTGAACCCCCGGATCGCACCAACAAGCCCGTGCATTTGGTCAGGCAGGCATGATACTACGTACCTTCCAAACGCCAGTCAAACACCGTGCAGACAGAGGCACCAACAAGTATTTCTAAGCAAATTTCGGCCCCCAGAAAATGATGTCATATAAATTTCCAAGAGCCTCCGGCTCCAATGATGAACCGGCCCGTAAAGAAGGCGTGCGTAATGAGTCTTGGGACTTGGCGAACGGACAGGACACCGGAGCTTCCTCTTACGCCCGTAGCGTCAGGCTCTGGAGGAAGAGTAGGGCTTGAAAGAGTCCAGGGAGCAGAAAAGAGGGGGACATCAGTAAGCCGATGGCAGCTCCGCTCTGGATTGCATGGAGTAGAGTGGTGGGTAATTTCGCCGCAGTGGAACTTGCCCCCAACATTCGAAATGATAGGGTCGAAATTATAGGGCGAAGGATTGCGCTATAAAGATATCAGGTGTGCCTGTATCCATTTGCTTTGGGGGCGACGAATTTGCGATTGGCCGTTGGTGGTGGAACCCAGGAACATAGTGCGGCAGGCTCATTCGGGCTTCGCCGCCCGAGCCCCATCCTCGCGAGACCTTCCAGGTTTTGTAACAACGCATCGGGTCGGGCGTAATTAAGTATTTAAGCATAAAGACCCCGGAAGCTGATTCTTTCTTTCTTTCAATTACTCGACTACACCAGAGGCCGTCTCTTCACCTCGATTGTATTATTCTCTATCTTATACCCAAGCATATAGTTCAACCGTCACCATGCAGTACAAATCTCTCGCAGCCCTCCTCTTCGCCAGCATGGCTATGGCCGCCCCAGCTGACGTTGAGTCCGCCCTTGAATCCGCAGACGCTGAGCTCGAGGATCTCATTCCTCCCTCTATTGCCGTGGTTCTCGCAACCGCCGTCCCAACTTCATTCTGGGCCGAAGCCACCAACACCGCCAACTTCCTTTCCCAAGTCGAGCAAGGCATGGTCTCCAACTCCTGGCCCACCTGGTACAGCAGCCTTCCCGACAGCGTGAAGGAGTACGTCACCACTGCTGTTGAGGACTACTATCCTTCTTTCGCATCGTCCGTTGCCGCCGAGATCACCAGCTCTGGCGGTAGCGGCTCCAGCCCTAGCACTGCTGAGGCCACCTCCACCGGCGCTTCCAGCTCTGATGCCTCTAGCTCTGATGCTTCGTCCTCTGACACTTCTACTACCACCGGCTCGGACGCCTCGTCCTCGCCCTCGGCTTCGGCGTCTGGATCTGCTGCATCGACCACTGCCGATGGTGGTGCCGCCCCTACTGGTATCGCCATGAGCCTTGCTGGCGCCGCTGGCGTTCTGGGTCTTGCTCTAGCCCTGTAAGAACGGTGAACACTAGCCCTTTTTTGAAGCATCTATGGTGGATTCGGCTTTTTCCTATTTGCATATGTTCACTACAAAATAATTGTTTAGTTCTCATGCTTTTAACAAAGGATTAAGCCCGGCTGGTGCGCTTATACTTTATGTACTTACAACTAATTTTGTCAATATACTGCATCATCGCTTTTGGGTACACTTTCATTCTGCTTATGAATCTTACAGTGGGTACGGAGTACGTATGTGTCTCACATGCACCTGTCAGCCAAGTAGTATCACCTCCCCTCCCCACCCCGCCCCGCCAACCCAATTCGAGCGTCCCAGCAAAAGTATCATCTTTCCTTCCCCCATACTGCTTGTGAGGTTTGTTGGAAGCTGGGTGTGAACGGAACCAAAGTTGATCTCTAAGAATGTAGGCTCCTGGGGCCGACTTGAGATTTTCATCATGGCCTTATGCAGCATCAGAAGGACCGGGGTCCCTTTTCTTCCCCTTGCCCATGCCCCTGTCACCCTCGCCACTTGCCTGGGAAGTTACAGTTGGCACGCTGGATTCTCGGGTTTCCATATTTGCTGAGGTGGACTTAACAAATGTTAGCCAAAAGATTGATTAAGCAAGAAAGAGACCGGAGTAAGATGGTTTAGGATGATTAGGATATCTCTTACCTGAGGCTTGTGTTGTTTCCAGGCCTTCTTGAACGCCGCCTTTTCAAAGCCGCCGTCTTTCATATCGATCAGGTCGAACTTCTTGACAAGTCTAAACTGGGAACGAGAAATACCAAACTTGGATGCGTATAGCTCCTCCTGCTCTTCCGACGACGCGCCTGCCTCGATGAGCGACTTGATAAATGCTGGCCCCTCCCTTAGTTCGCGCGATGAATACCGCATCGCCGGTCCTGCACGCGGGGAGGTATTAGAGGCAACTGAACTCCCCTGGGTGCGGGTTTCTTTCTTTGGAGAGGGGGTCCAGGGAATGAAAACATTCCTGCGACGGACCGGAGTAGCTGGTTGTTTGTCTTTGTTTCCAGAACTACTTATTTCGGATGGGGACTGTTGTGGGATACCCGAGCTTCCTGTGCTGCCATCCCGAGCGCGGGTTGTGATGTCAGATTTGATCGGGTCATCTTCTGGTCTAACCGGGTTGTTTGCGACTAAAATGGGGGTCCAGTGATAGAAACTCTCTTTATGTCGAGACTGAAAATCAGACTGTCTGTTGTTGGGGCGAAGCCGTGATGTTTCATCTTGGAACTCTTGGGCTACGTGCGAGGTTCCTTTGACATCTCTCTCACTCTGATGTGAGACCGTGGTGCTTTTCTCAGTTTGATGTGAGATATCTGATGCGATTGAGCTTCGGGTTATATCCATTGGGTCGGGTACAGAGTTGTCGAGCGATCCTGTGTCTGCTGTTCTATATTAGTATCAGATGACTGATTAGGGCAGACTGCAAACTCACCATTCACGACAGCATTGAAAGGGCTGACGCCTTGTTTTGCAACTGCACCAGCAGTCTCTTGTCCTCTCTGCACCTCAGACAGGTGTGAAGACTGCATCATGCGTTGCGGGTAACCCAATGCGATGAAGTGGTAATTCTCCGCAGATATCTCAACCACCCTTCCTTTAATACGACACCAGTACATGCCATTTGCCTGGAGTTGAAATTGATCTGCGGTTGTTGCTTCAGAAAGTACATCCATCCAAGTGACAATGGGGTATGAGCGGTGGAACGATTGAACGCGCCCCCTACACACTCTCTTGCTCGTCCGAGGTTCGGTATGGCGCTGAATGCAGTCAGGTAGGATCAAGCAGTAAGGAGGACCGCCGAAAAACTTGTTGAGTGCGGATTCAAGTTCAGCATCGGAACCCACGGACGAAGACTCACTTTCTTCAAGGACACCCTTAGGTGATTCGGTAGGGTAGTTGGTTCCATCTTGCTTTTCATGCAATGCTTTAGCTTGGCCGGCACTGAGACCCTTCTTCTTCTTCATTATGGTGGGGACTACTTATGCGACAACCTTGGGGGTCAATCAGCATAAAAAGGAAAGAGTAAGATGGTAAAAGTCTTTGGTCGGAAAATTCAGACGCGTTGTGGGTGCAATAAGAAGAAAGTCGCGAAGTGTCGAGACGAAAATTTCAGACTCGATGGGAATCACGAGGTCCATGTATTTGCTGCGAATACTATGAGAGGAAAACGCTAAGGGTTGGTCCCAACTATGGACACCTCAGAGAGCATTGGCGGTTTTCTATTTCTATCTGCTGACCCTAAAAGCCCATTATTAAATCTGATAGATGGTGAGTTATGTCGAATTCCTGATTTGATAATAATATGAAATTCATTAAGCAGTGGTTATGACCGGCCATGATACAGACTTGCTTCATCTCCTCCTAAATAGCATAAGAAACCCCCATCATCCCATCGATCCTCCCAATTGATAGCTGACTGCCCCGTTTTCTCTCAAGTCGCCTCTCATATCATAGGTACGTTCATCAACCCATCTGGTTCTAACTCCAAAGAGCCATCACCTGCCACTATCCCAGCAAGACTAGGCGGACTAGAAGAGTTGTCAGTAAAGTTCTCTAGAAAGGTTGTAGTAATGGGCTTGGTACCATAGTCTTTGGCCTCTTGGCTTCTCGGTGGGATTTCATCAACGCCCAAGTACCTTTGATCGCGAATTTCTTGAAGATAGCACCCGCAGAACGGGAAAGCCCGAACATCTGGGAGTATTGTTCTTCGAGTTCGGCGCCAGTGGATCCTTTGTCGACCAGATACTTCACAAATGCTGGCGCCTCATCCTCTTCCAACTGAGAGTATCTTTTGCCTGACCCTGTCTTCTTTCCAGACTCGCTGGAAATGGATTCAGCTCAGCGTCTCTTTGAGCCTTGGGGTGTCGTTCCATGTTCATTTTCTGCAGTATCAGTGGAGCGGGATGGCTGCTCGGATTTGATCTTAAAAAGGGATGTCGGATCCAAATGATTGAGCATCGTCGTCTTCATTACCAGGGGCATTGATGTTGGACAACCACGGACGGATAGTGTCAGAGGCCATTTCGGAAGTCAGGCCAGACGGTTCGATATTGGCATTGGAATTGATGTTGCCATTGGCATCCGTGTTTTCGAGCTCAGGGTCGTTCAGAGCGGAGGAGTTATTATCGACCAATTCGGCATCGGCATTGTTGTCGTTGACCAGGCTAGCGACCAATCGCAAGATGCCATATGCAATATACCCGGCATTATCATTCGTGCCATTCGCTGAATCATTGGAATTCCCCCGAGAAACGTCGAGTGAGGAGGCATAATCACCCGTGGAGCTCGCAGAACCAGTGGAATTGCTTCGGAAAACGTCGGTTGACGGGACGTAATCGTAATCATTGGTGTCGCTCGTTTGCTCGATGGAATTGTTCTGAAGAACCTCAGATGATCCAGATTTGATACGTCCTTGCGTGTGAGATTGCATGACTTCCGCCATATACCTCCTAACGATCTCAGGGGGCTCAGACTGGCCCGATTCTGGTGCTTCCTGTTTGATGTTGGCGCTAGACTTGTTGACGGTGTCGCTTTCAGTATCGGATATGCAGATTACCTCACGAGAAGAACTCACGGGTTGTCGAGCCGACATTGGAGTACGCAGTTGGGCTTGATCACGTCCAGTAGAGCTGGGATTTGCATCGTGAATAGTCGGGGGTGTGTTCAAAGCATCAATAGACGTCTGGACTGCGGTCGCAACTAGTTAGTAGTTTATGAGATTAGTTTAGAGACAAAAAAGCTCAGAGCAATGGGCGAACTTACATTGCAAGAGGGTCTGGTGGGTCTGATGCAGGTAGGCACTCAATTTGAGACGCACTCGAGTCTCCTTCTGCTCATCGGACAAGTTTTGCAATGGCTGCAAAAGTCGTTCAGTCACGCCGGTGAGGATTTCAATGTAGTTCGCCTCAGAGACCTCGATTAAGCTTCCCCGAACGCGGCATCGGTACATCCCATTGGCTTGTCGTTGAAAGTCCCCGGGAGTCAGCAATTCGCGAAGGACATCGGTCCATTCAATGAGTGTATTGCTGTCGCCTTCAACCAAGCGTGGGCGTGGCTCCCCGAATATTCTAGCAGCCGTCCTTTCTACTTCGGAGTAGAAAAGTGAATCGCCAAATTGGGGTGCCAGGGGCCCACCTTTAGCAATGATATTGGCGTATCCAGCGAACTTCTCGTAAGCCTCAGCAACGTCGTGCAACAGTGCAGGGTATGGACTAAGCGCCATGTCGGCTTCACGCGACGGGTTGCCACTAGCCCCTACCAGGTCGGGTACCTGGGTAAGAGGGTGGCGGCCTGCCATAGTTCGTGGCGTGAGAGGAATAACCGCTAGTATAATGCCGTAACAATGTTCTGAATGGGGCGAAGGTGGACAACTTGGGAGAGGTAGAGGTGAGTCTAGGAGCGGTTGAGGATCTATAAGGGAGCGATCAACGAAACGCGCGGGCTACCAAACGAATGCAAATTCTATAGCGACAGTGAGGTTTTACATTTCTTTCTCTCACATCTATTTCGAAGACTTATATGATGTGGCTATATTAGCGTACCTTTTCTTCGTGAACTAGACAAAGCGGGAAGTCTATCTTAGCCTATATATTCGACTTCTCCATATAAAAATCAGGCAGAGGGGGCACGGCCGAGGTAGTGCAATTCATATTTACCTTGTTAGTATAAACTGTTAGCAAATTATGTTTTATCATATGTGCACAAGTAGAAAATAACTGTCAGCGAGAGAGGTCTACAGAGAGATATCAAGATGCAGTTCGTTGAGAGGCTGAATTGTTGTGGAGACTACATAAGTCGTGAGACAACCGAGTTTTAAATTTGACAATACCCTTACGCAAGGAACCATGAACGTTGTGGTCACCCACGGGCCGTAAACCTTGGTTGCGGAGAGGGTTGTTGTATCGAAGAACGGAGTCGCTGGTGAAGACGGCATTGGTCTTTGCGAACCGGGAGCCGGGGTGATCGTGTTAGCCGAATTGACGGTGTTAGTGTCTCGGAAGCATTGTTCTAGAGTGTGGATAGTCCACGTCGGTAGTAAGTAAAATTGGTTCGAATTCACGTTAGCAGGCGTAGCAAAAAGGTCTTGTTTGCATCATTGCTGGAAAAGACGGTGTGGAAGGGTGGCCGCATCAGGCAGCAACTTGTAAGGTGAATTGGCTGCACAAAGAAGCGGATTGTGGAGGTTTACATCGAATATGGAGGTACCTGCTAACTGCGTGAAGAAGCGGGTTATAGCTACGTTGAGGGAGATACACTAAGAGTAGAGTGGCCGCCAAAGGAGGGACGTAGGCGTAGCGTACTACTAGCGTGGAAACTCTATTATATGGGTGTGACCGTGGAGGGAGAGGGACACGTACTAATTGAGACCGTTTGCTATGTGAGAGCTGTGTAGGTGGGTGGCCTGGCCGGTTGGTGCGACGAGAAATTCACTTCGACGTTGACGATAGAGCTTAAGACAGAGGCGCGCGGAGAATTGAACGTAAAGAGTCAGGTTGAATGGAGCCTATAAGAAACTAAGAAGGGAAGAAAATATCTATATAGGTAGTTATCTAAAAAAAATACCTAAGGAGACTACTAGAAAGGACCACTAAAAAGACATATAAAAAGACTACCGGAGAAGACTACCCTAGAAGACGAACAAGAAGACTACAGCCGCATGAGCGGCCGACTATTCTTGTCTATAACATCTGAATTCCTACAATATCAACTTCTATAGTGTCATTTTTCACACTATCAATTTCTATCAATTTCTGTAGTCAATAAAATACATATACTAATTTTATGAAATGTTCTGCTGGCAAAATACGATATGGCGCACTGGCGGCTATGCACTGCTGTATTGCCTGGGCCATGACCCGGAAAACTTGCAAGAAATCAAGGGTCATGTTAGCCATACGCATGTGCCTAGGAAATCTAGGAAATCAACTCGCACCTTGATTTTACAATATGTTGTCCTCAAGCGGATGTCTGTTACTGATTTCTACGACTCCTCCAGTGTGCATAGTCCAGATAGCATTTGGTGGCCAATTAGGTCACCCATTATGGATATATTTTGTCTGTCTCTTCAGTAATGACAAAAGAATACACCGACATCAAGCGTTCATGGTAGGAACGGGATTATTAACGTAAGAAGTGGCTGATATGAAGATAAGTATTGACCAGTTGCACAAAGAATCCGCAGAGATCACAAACAGAAGTGAAACTTCCTGCTAAGTGAGAATCCTCTCCAGGACTGAGAATATAGATTAGTCAGATGCTCGGGGGTGCTCTCAACTGATGATACATACAGTGAGCGAACTTTCTTTGGGCCTTGAAAGTGAATACGATCAAGTTATGTCAGTTGAAAAATGACCTGCAGTAACCGACACCCAAGCCGACCTATCAGTACACGTTCGGAAGGCCACTCTTGAATGGTGTCGATACAGCCGTTTTGGAGGGCCAGTCCAACTTGTATGGGACGGGTGGGCCCCCAGGCTGCTGGGAGGGCCGGAATAAGGGGTATGGGGATACATAGGGTGGCGCGGCAGCAATACGATGGCTGGGGGCAGCAGCAGCAGCTGATATTACCCGGCTCGTTGGGAATGTCCGAATCGGCTAGGGTGGATTGTCATTCAAAAAGGCCAAATGAAGATGCAACGGGAGTTGTACTTTCAATACCACGATTTTGCTCGGGTTCTCTGCTTGATCGACCATTTTCTCTGCTTTAGCGGCCCTTTCCTCCATCCGGTCGACCCAAAGCTTCACTGTGAGCCAGCGATGAAAGACACCAAACTTTTCGACGTAGGCCTTCTCAATTTCACTCGGGAGCTTTCCTGCGTCTACCTGGCTCTTGAACCAGGCTGGGGCGTGCTCCCTCTCGTAGTCGGTGAAGTTATTCCGCGTTCGCTTGTGTCCTTTGCGTTTCTTTCCTGCAGTGGAGGATGTGGGCTGCGGTTTAGTGGGAGTATCGACCTTTTCTCTCCACATTGGCAGTTCTCCACTAAGGTCGATGGTCTCGATATCTTCTGGGGATGGGGCAATCTCCACCTTTTGCTTTTTCGGAGGCGGTCGCATCAGGTCCCCGTGGCCATGGAGCTGGTGTTTCGCTGATCCGTCTCCTTTGAATGGCTTAGACTCCTGTGTATGAACCAGGCTTTGTGCGACCTCGGGCTTTCCGTTGCTGAGAAGTCCAGACACTGACACTCCCATTTCATTTTCATATGCTTTCTGGTTGCTTTCGGTGATGACATTCGAAGGCCCTTGTTGGTGTGAGTTGTCAACCGAATCATCATCATCATTATCATCGTCAGCACTGTCATAAGATATTGGCCTTGAGACATCGCCAGGGGCCATGAAAGGGATGTCGGATCCGCTTGAGACACCTGAGCTTTCGGATGCACTGCGTGGACGGGTACTATGCGTTTCAACAGATATTGTGGGACGAAATGACTCGCTTGGGGTAGGATACTGTAATCCAGGGGTATGCGGTGTCCGAGACCTTTTCACGGGGTCTTGAATGCCTTGAAGAAGTTTAATTCGGCGTTTCTTCAGTGCCAGCTGAAGTCGCTTCAGTTTCTCCACGTCTGTTTCCATCAGTATGTCTCTTCCGGCATGCGAGTGTGAAAAGGACCGGGAAGTACTGACATTTGATCTTTTTGTCGAGTTCATCCAAGACGTCCGCCTCTATTGCCAACGTGACTTCGGACTCTCTTTCAGCGTCGGCGGGACTTGGCCACAGGTAGGAGTTTGCTGGGAGGAAACATCGGTTGAGGAGGATGCTCTTGTGAAGAGACTCATCAATTTTAACGAGATTTCCCTGATCGTAACAGTGATAGGAACCGTCGCTTTGCTTTTCGAAACTGCCGTGTCGGAAAATGTTGACCCAGCTAATCGAGGGATCATTCTTATCCCTAGACGACTTAGAGTCAGATGAACACGGGGGGCGAATCCCCAGTGTTTCCCTTAGTCGTGTCTCGACAGTGTAACTTTCGAGGGGCTCGTCTGAGAAATACTGGGTGAAAGTCTCATCGTTGTCGAGGACAGCCTGATACGACTGCATTAATGCAAGACCATCCTGTGGCAGGGACTCAAATTTCGGCAGCTGGGACCGGACACCCTCTCGATATGTCCCCCATTTGATCGGATGGTTAGGCGGACCATCCATTTTCAGGTATTGTTCTGTGTATAATCTTAGTTTAAGTAAAGCGTTAGAGTCGGCTAGCTGCGTCTCACCTAATAAGGCAGAGTAAAAATCGTCCGGCCTCTGGGTATTGAAACGTGAACTGAGGTGTGAAAAGTTTGGAAAGTTCGAAGACAAGCAGAATAAACGAGCAAGCACTAGGATTTATTTCTCCTAGATCTTTTCAAACCCCCTGTCGCAGAATGTGCTTAGGTGTGCTTCGGTTGTGTTGGTTTGTGAAGGCAGTCGTCACAGACGTGATAAATACCAGTAACGAAACCACGTAATTTTAACACTTCGCCCACACTATACTGTAGGTCAAATCACTAAGTGAATTTATTAAATGTAAGATGGCTTCTAATAGCCTAGGTATTATAGGAAACCAGAACCTCCTGATAATTGACGAGGGGAAAGTTTTGCGACACACTTTCCTGGTTGCGGACTATTAATTGAGACCAGCAAGCGAGGCCCACATTTTATTGTTTGGGGAATGAGGCGCCTAAGGTCCGCTGTTGGCTGTCGCTCAATCACACTTTAACCTGGTCACTTGTGGGGATGAATACTTCCAACCTCTAAAAGAATTGCTATAGACGCCAACGGTCATAAATGACGGCTTCGACTTTCCCGTGCTGCATAATAAGACTGGATTACTCGCCGACATGCTCCTAGTCTACGAACAGCGCCTTCACCGCTATCTATTCATTTTTCAATTAATCTTAGCGTCCCAAGTAAGCTTACTACAGCGGTATGATTGGTCTATTAATATAAGGTGAAAGTTTTTGGATTAGAAGGACGTGGAAATTTCTCCGTACTCCGTGCAAACTGACAAGAATAGATTAACAACGCTACATACATGATGATTTCTTAAATACTAGATTACGTTCTTAAAAGAATAAACACTCCAATTTTAAATAACTTGTTTTTCCCTACGCCTGCAGAGTTTTCACAGTGCCGTACCAGAGCGTGGTATTTTTACCACCCGATTTTTATTATGAACCGTGTTAGATTCTTTTCATCTTATTATTCTTTAATAATAGTATTCTCTTTTAGTTCAGTCCTGTCAGTTAACTCTATCCACATGGCTTAATAGCCAGTACTCCGTACGCTAACCATCCAAATGGTTCCTAATTAAATACTATCTTTGCTTGTATGCATATGCACGTTATATGTCCTATTAATGCTAACCTCGAATTCATCGCATCCATCCATGACATATTAACTGCGTAATTTAAACTTCTAGATTATACCAGATTGATATTAATGCTAAATAACAATTTATAGTGTCTTTTTCTCTCTAATCCTTTATTTTATCTGATTTCGTCTTTGCTTAAAATTCGAAGGGGATGGGAATAACAGTAAAAAAGGGTGATTGGACAGGTCACTTTCCCCTTTCAAGGTCATAACACGGCGGGGGATAATGGTGGTGGCCCCGAGGACCGTGCTAGGCGAAATATTTGCCATCGATAATATATTAATGGGTGGGGAGATTGGTTGTCACAAACTATTGAATAATCATGGAGATAGCGACCGACGTTGGGCTAAAAGTTTAAAGACGTCCCTAGGTCCCCTATTGTAAGTGACCCCTATTAAAAGTACGCCTATATAAATGGCCTATATAAAGATCGAAAAGTGGGGCAATAATACACATCATCACGTGACCGTTAAAATCAATCGAGGCGAAAAGCCTCAAACAAAACCTTTCTAATTACGCCAAACAGCCTTCAAGCGACGCTTGCCAAAATCAAGATGTGGATTAACTGCGGGAAACTATCCGACTTCACGCAGGCGCGATACGTGGTCCGCCTAAGCACAGGCAAGAAACTGGTCTTATTTCGGCTACCGACGATCGACAAATCAAGCTTGAAATCCAACGAGACTAATGACGGCTGGTCATACTACTCCATGGAGGCAGAATGTCCGCATGCCGGCGGCCCAATGGCCGACTCCTCGGTTGACATCGAGGACTCGGCGTATGTCGTGTCGTGTCCGTGGCACGCATACGATTTCAATGTAGAGACCGGCGAATCCAGCGTCGGTATCAAGGCCTGTACGTTCCCCGTTGATGTGCGCGGCGATTTCGTCGCGCTGGATTTCCCTGTAGAGGACGGGTTCAGCGTGGGGATTGCTAGTGTCGATCCTGTTAGTGAGAAAGTCAAGCTTAAGCACCCGCGGCCTGCGGAGAAGGCTGCTGCTACTACTACGGCTACTGTTTCTGCTTCTGTTTCTGCTCCTGCCAGCCGAGAGGATCCCGGCATGGCGACATATCTCGGCGACGACGCGACGCTGTGTGACTGGGCCGCCCATGTTCTCAATACCGCCAATCCAGAGCACAAGATCGAGCTGGCTACGCATCTTTTCTCTATTTTCACTGCTAGAGAGGCTTCCGATTCACCAATGCCGCTTGGTAGGGGAACTGTCTCTCCGCCTGACCAGCCGCCGCGTGAGAAAATGGAAACTGTTGACCCGGGCCACATGCCGAAGGCGGGACGAGGCGGGACCTTGAAGAGCCGTATTGCTATGCTTCATGCGCTGGCTAATATTGAACTGTGGGCTATTGACCTGGCTATTGATATCTGCATTCGCTTTGCGACATTCCAAACAGAAGGGACCTCCCAGGAACTCCCGCGCGCATTCTTCTATGACTGGTTGAAGGTCGCGAATGACGAGGCTAAGCACTTCTCCCTGCTCCGCACCAGACTCGAGGAGATGGGATCTAGCTTCGGTTCGCTCCCGGTGCATCACAGTCTGTGGCTTTCGGCAACTGAAACTGCGTACGACCTCCGAGCGAGGATCAGTATCATCGCCCTGGTACATGAAGCACGAGGCCTCGATGTCAACCCCATGACGATTGAGAAGTTCCGCAAAGCTGGTGATAGCGAGAGCGTGGCGACCCTGGAGATTATTCACAATGACGAAATCACACATGTGACCACTGGCCATCGGTGGTTGACGTGGATCTGTACCCAGGAGGGGACTGATCCTGTTCATGTCTTCCGGTCGAATGTGCAAAAGCATTTCAAAGGTCCGATCCGGGGGCCATTCAACGAAGAAGCGCGCTTGCAGGCTGGAATGGACAAGCGCTATTACGAGAACTCATCTGCTCCCAGCGCGGGAATTGCAGCTTCATGACCGGGCATGGCGATAAAAGAAAAAGGAAACGCTTTACGTTGAAACATGATATCACGCGGTTGATCGGCACGATCTTTTCTCCTGCTAGTGTGTTTTTTTTGATATCCCCGTCTTGAACTAGCAGAATGTACATAGCAAGAAAGCAAGCATTTATAATCATTATTCGCTGAAATCGCTATTAACTAGTAAACATTAAGATGTCCTAAATCCTGACCGTCGATCATTAAGTGCCATTAAAGGGGGCCAAACCACCCCGAGCGACCGTGGGGAAATCTATTCGATGTATTCGGTCTTCAACTGGACCTTGGAGCAGCTGGAGGGGATTGTGGCGGTGTAGTAACGGTTCAAGTAGAAGAGCTGGGGCGCATTGTGGTACCAATCACAGACTGTTTTGGAGATGTTAATACCATGTGTCTTAAAAATGAGAACAAGGAGCAAAGACGCAGGGTTTCCTTACCGAGCCATCCACCGAAGCCGTTCTGTTCCGACCATTGGAAGGTGTCGCCCTTGATGGAGTACCCTTCGCTGCCGCCGCTGCCTGCATTGATAACCATAGGTGCCCAAGCTAAGTGAATGAAAATATCAGGTTAGCCCAGACTGAAATGTGACACAGGAGAATTTTTCCAGGGTATGTGGCGATACTCACAGGCATAGTTGGTGTCGCCAGTGGCAATCAGTCCCCAAGAGAATTCGGTCTTTAAGTCGACGAGTGCGTTCGTCCCATTCAGATAGACAGAACTGGCCATGCTAACATCCTTGGTGAGCACTGCGTCATTGAGACCTGCGCCCGTGTGGTAGGCGTAGGCATATAGGTTGTTGTGATCTTCATTGTTGGCACCGCTAGTCTTAAGGTGGAAGTGCTTCGACTCCTTGGCGGTAGTGATAGGAGCTGCGATGGCAGAGGCAGCCAGCAGAAGAAGGGATGCGAGGAACTTCATCTTTAGGTTCGTGTGATAGTTTTTTGTGTGTGTGTGTGTGTGTGTGTGTGAGGGATCGATGAAGGTTAGTTTAGAGGTTGGAAGTTGGGAGGCTGAAAGTTGGAGCCTGGATGTTGGGAGGCTGGGGATTATTCTGAGTTGAGAGTGAAAAGAAAATCTCGTTCAGGAGGGAATCTAGCAATATTTATGTGCACGGATTGTTTTCAACGGATTTATAGCTGTGGAGATACGCATCATAGCATGTGTTTTGTAGATGATTTTCTGATTACTTGCTCTTTTGGAAATTAATAGCTCCATTTCTGTATAGACCCCCCAGTCGGAGGTTTACATTCCGAGCTGACTGGGGAAAGCGACATTCATCAAGGCATGATTAACCCCAGCAACAACAGATATTGCCTTGATCGCTGGAGGTCATGATGTCAACAGAACTATTAAATTGGGTCTGTACCCAGTGATGTGTCGGAGTGGCGAAAATCTTACTACATCAAGACTTAGTGGGACTGGGGTTACAAGCAACTACGAAGAACTAGAGAATTGGCAGAGGGGAAGTGAGACATTTTTCTTCGGCTTCAGGCGAAAAAGCAGGATGTTATCGTCTTCTTCGAATGTCAGTTGTAACATCACTTCTTGATGGCTGAGACATACTTTGTCTTTCTCGAAGCCCATTCGTTGAAAACTGTAAGTGAGAAGTCGTCTAAGCGAGTAAAACGCTATTTTCAACATATCATATGACCATAAAAGAATCATGGCCTGAGAAGATTAGGGGATTTACTATCAGCTTCCGATGGCTTCAAATTGATTGGAGTTGGAGACATTCTGAGTGCGCATGTTGCTTTCATTATCCACTTTATGTAAGGGTACAAGGCCGCATATCTTAAGTGTTGTATTCCAATTGCTTCTGTGAATCTCAGTCTCATAGCAACTTGAAGCAATATCAACTGTCTATCTTGTAAAGGTTAATAAACTAGTCCATACCAAGGCTATGGTGGCATAGCTTATTTATTGGAAGCCTGAGGCAGCAAGCCAAAGATAGCTCACACTAAATAAACGGACTGACTATATCGCCAACTAATTCTACTTGATACGTAACAATTCAATCCGTATCCATACCTTTTTTGCTGCCGAAAAGTAGTTTTGACACAACGTTATGAACAATATTCACAGTTCTGTTCTAGAATTTGGATGAAGCGACCACATTGTTTCCGTTACAGTAAATAGTACATGAGATAATATAGAGACAATTGCAGACGAGAAACAGACCCAATTCTCACAGAAATGTAGGTGCCCACCAGAACAAAAGCCCCAAGACTTCCGCAAGGTTTTGCCTGCATATCTGCTTGGCATAGTGGAGGCTGGGAAAAACCTCCCGACATCGGCTGTATGGAGACCTCTCATACGGTCGCAATGTTTCGCTTTAACCCCACGGTACTATGGGATGCCCAACCATGTTTTTACAACTTGTGGCGTTGCTCTTGGTGACATGCGAGTCACTGGCAGATATCCCTCCGCTGTATCGATCGCGACCATATGACCTGGGAGCGTTCGACCGATGGCCTCACCAGCTCTACCACTCATCCAATGCCATTGGGCCTATCCTGAATGTCCACCAGGAAGATGCACAATGTTACAATGAGAGCATCTTCACCGTTGTTCCCTACTGGGGAAAGCAAGTGAACGTTCCGGGAGTGATGCTCCTCGATACAAAAGGGTATCTCGTCTGGCACACGACCGGGTATGTCACAGCAGACATACAATCCTTTCGAGGAGAGGACTATATTGTCTCCCTTTCGGAAGACTCAACCTATTATGCATTGGTAAGTTGAAGATTGGCGGCATCGCATTAGGAAAGATTCTAAGGTCCTTTAGATAAACTCCCGCTACGAGGAAGTTTATCAAATCCGTTCAGGCAACGGGTGGCAGCTTGATGCGCATGAGTTAACCCTGAGTCCCTCAGGGACGGCACTTCTGGTTATCAATGGTGTCTTCGCGGTGAACCAAACGGCGTTCAAGGCACCGCCGGAAGTTGAATTTATTCTGGAGGCAGGGTTCCAGGAGATCGACGTCCAGACAGGAGAGGTGCTGTTTGAGTGGCTAGCTTCAGATCATTATAGCTTTGAAGAGTACTATCATTTCCAGCCGGGCGATGGTAGAAGCGAAAAAACCGCGCCGGACTTATTCCACGTCAACAGCATCGAAAAAGACGATCTCGGCAATTACCTCATTTCCTGTCGAATGATGAGCTCCATTGTCTATGTGGATGGTCGAACAGGCGCTGTGATCTGGAAGCTTGGAGGGAAAGCAAATATGTTCAAGGACCTATCCGGTGGCGCCGCGACAAACTTCAACGGTCAGCACCATGCCCGGTTCCACGATCACGGCCGGATTGTTTCCATCTTCGACAATGGAAACTGCCCTGGCCGTCCTGTGACAGGTCCAACCCGGGGTCTGACGGTGGTCCTAGACACAGAGAAGATGACTGTGCAGTTGCAGCATGAATACATCAGCCCAAACAGTGTCCTCACCGACAACAGTGGATCGATGCAGATCTTGGATAGTGGCAATGTGGTCCTTGGCTTTGGCCCGAACGCAAACTGGGCCGAATACGCCTCAGACGGATCCCTGCTTTGCAATGTTCACATGGGCCCCGAGACGTTCTTCAACAGCGGGGAAATTCGCTCCTACCGGATCACGAAGAGTCCCTGGGTTGGTCATCCTCAGGCCATGCCTGAGATTGCTGTGGATGATGGACGAGTGTATGTGAGCTGGAATGGGGCCACGGAAGTGTCTATGTGGTCTTTGAATGGAACCGATATTGAGGGTGTTGGGGAAGAGTCAGTCTTCATGGGGAGATTTCCTAAAGGCGGCTTTGAGACTGAAATACCTGTTCCTACCAACCCGACTAGTCGGTATTTCTTTGTTAATGCTCTGGACAGAGCTGGTCAGGTTATCGGCTCAACCTCTGCAATGCAGTGGCCTTCTAAGCCTAGACAAGGTCTTGTACACCAAGGTCTTTGAAGTCTTTCTAGCACAGAAAAGGAATTTGAGCTTATGATCGAAGGAAGTCACCGCTTCCCGGTCAGCTTGTCACTGTCTTGGCAACTATTGGCTATTAAGGCCAGATGCTGTTTCTTCCTTCTGTTTCATCTTTCATTCTTACAGCCCCTATGTCAGATCCTTGATACAAAAATGACAGATTTTGCGAAATACTTTCCTATATTCTCCAAAAGCACAACACTTCTTCGCAGCATCCATCCAACGTTCTCATGCTTTATCTAGCCTCTTTTATCCATGGACTGACAGCTTATTTTCCTTGGTGATCTTCCGCCAGGGGCTATCTCAGGAAATGTAAATTATTGCAATTCTCCTTTTCACCAAAACTCATTAGTTTTCATAAACCCAACTATATTTTCTACATGAATATATAAAACAATTGTGCATTAGCTGGATTTTTCGCCATAGATTGTTTAAGCTGGTGGGATGTTCAGGGGGAAACGTTTCCCGCTCAGCCCCCTGAATCAGATGGGGATGCTATACGGAGTACATAATCATAAGTTATTGACGAGACCTCCAAATACTCCCGGATGGCAAAGGGTAGCTTGATATTTAATCGAAAATACTAGATCAAACGTTAGAAACATTCAGCGACGTTCTTTCGACTATTCACATTACTTGTCGATTCCAGGACCCACAGTTGAGTCCCGAAATCTCTTCGCGCCCCTGACGCGTTGACTTATTAGGAGACTGTGCAGGGTATTTGCTAGGCATCTATTATCTTTATAAGTCTGGAAATCCCGGACATTATCCAAGAAGTTTGTTTTAATAATCAAGAGCCGCTTGGACACCGGGTTAGTGCCCCTTGGATTACACATTTGACAGGACAAGATTAACCTGAAGACTAGGCTCTGCCGTACTAAGGCATCATGGATCCCTCTACATACACAGATCCTCAGCTCACCTACCAAGATCGGCTGGTGATCGATGCTATCGTTGAGCTTCAGCCCAGCTCAAATGGTAATACCACTGCATTCTCGGTCAAGTAACAAACTAACAAAGATCTAGGCAAAACAAGTGCCCAGCCATTGGACAAGCTGAGCACCGAAGAAACAGTCCAAAAGCTTCACAATCTCAATGATCCTTCTCATGTAGAATTTGATCCCACCATCTCCCAATTCTGGGATACCCCGCTGCTGAGGGCCAAGCTACCCGCGCCCATCCAAAAGTACGTGCTTACGCCATACATCAACTGGGCGAAGGGGATCGTACGATACCAGACCGACGTGGTCATGGTAACGCACCTTATACTTTACTTCACCACTATTGTTCCAAGTGCCGCATTCTTATATTACCGATTCTCTTACCTCCACGGTGCCTTGCACTGGCTCATGCAAGGGTTTTATTGCGGTGCTTTCACGCTGATGAAGCACCAGCACATCCACATGAATGGAGTCCTGACGTCAAAATTATATCTGTTTGACATGCTTTTCCCCTACCTGCTGGACCCCATGCACGGACATACATGGAACTCTTACTATTACCACCACATCAAGCACCACCACGTTGAGGGTAACGGCGGGGACGATCTGAGCACAACGATGTACTACGACCGCGACAGCATCCCCGACTTCTTGACCTACGTGGGCCGGTTCTTCTTTTTCATTTGGTTGGAACTCCCAATGTACTTTTGGAGAAAGGGCCAGTTCAAGTATGCAGCCAAATGCGCCTTCTGGGAGGTGGGTAACTACGTTGCCATTTACATGCTCTACAACTACGTCAATGCCCGCGCTACCACTTTCGTGTTCATTCTTCCGCTCACCGTCATGCGCTTGGGCTTGATGGTCGGCAACTGGGGCCAGCATGCTTTCGTGGATCCGGCCGACCCAGATTCGGATTACCTGTCCAGCATCACATTGATTGATGTTCCGGTGAGTCTCGATCAGCCTGCTTGACATGTAGAAACGAGACTGACAAGTACCAGAGTAACCGATTCTCTTTCAACGACGGCTACCACACCTCTCACCACCTGAACCCGCGCCGCCACTGGAGAGACCATCCTGTCGCTTTCCTCATGCAAAAGGACCGCTATGCTAAGGAAAACGCTCTCGTCTTCCGAAATGTTGATTATATTTTCATTACTGTGAACCTACTTCGGAAGAACTATGACTACCTGGCTAAATGCCTGATCCCCATCGGTGATCAGGTCAACTGGACCATGGAGGAACGGGTGGAGATGTTACGTCGTCGGACGCGAAAGTTCCCCAGACCGTCCTCGAAAAAGAGGGAATAGAAGACGTTGGCTTTTGGAATTTTTCTGATAGACAAATCGTTCTGGATTCCTCATTTTCTGTATTCACAAAACAGTCTATCTACAAAATTCGCATTGGATATTTTGCCGAGGCATGGGATCGGCAGCACGTTCTTGTTTCGCTTGGAGGACCAGGTTTGCTAACGTATTCTCACTACCGAGTAGTCTAAAAAAAAACGTAGTAGAGGCCATATTTTCAACCTTAATATCTCAACAACCACGTTCTTATTTTGTTTTGTTGTCGCTTGATAGACATTGATGGGTCTTCTTAACGCTATATATAATTTCAAGAAAATTGAAATGCTATATTGCCATGGTACTGCATATTACTTTGCTGTACTAGAACTATATATATCGCAATCACAAAGCCATCAAATTTCTTCGAACTCCCCAAAGAGGCCAGATATATACAAAGGATGAAGCAATAGGGAAACCCTAGACAGACTGTCACTGCTATCATTGTTGAGACGTCAAGTGGTAATTTATCGCATTTACTATATGTTTATGGGATGGACTGCTGGGTAGTGAAATACATTATACTCCCTGTATAAAGTGCCCGGTCATTGGAAGTCCTGATACAATTGACACAGTGCGGGTTAAATCATCTATAGTGACCCATGTCCACGGTTTATCTCTATGAATCCCTCTAGCCAAACAACAATGAACGTCTTTTACATCCATTCCCAAATGAACCCAACGCTATTGATGAGTGGGTCTCGGAAAGAGACTGCTATCCGCATACTCCAATGGAGAGTGGAAACAAAAAAATGCTCACACTCGGAGTCGAACCGAGGATCTCATGATTACTAGTCATGCGCTTTACCACTAAGCCATGCGAGCTGTTATTGAGTGTTGCTACGTTTTATGCTACGAGGCGATAACGGAAAATGTCGAGCCAAGGCGAGGTTTTAGAATAGACATGTAAGTGTAAATATAGAAAGTTCTCATATTACATACACCTTTGTCGCTATATGGTTATCCATTAAACAAGTTGAAAATAGAATAATTGCTGTATTTTTAGCCCACGCCGATCACATGAGTATTCACCCCTAAACCTCCCCTGATCTGAACAACGACAGCCCTAGAGGTCTGTTATGATTATGTAAAGGGGTGGTAATCGAACCTTAGAAAGCCTGGCAATAGAATTGGAGGTCCCAACAGGTGGCAGCTGAATCCTATGATCATGGCGGTGACAAAAAACTGCAATAGATACCCATTCTTTTATTATGCTGACCCAGCAGGTTTAGATGTATTGGCATAGCCTAATTGGGCAAATCATATAGGTCCAATGGAGCATTGGTACAGTAGCGACCGCTTTCGCCTTCGATGTCAGGAACAGAGAGATCTCCAGTTCGATCTGCTTAGACTTCACCCCACTTGAAGATCTTCACGGTGGCCAATAGCCTTTGTAGTGACGATGCCGACCAAACCCGTACTAGCGAACCTGGGGCGAAAATTCACAATTTGCCCCCACCCCCGGTTACTCTGGTCGTCTACCATATTCTCTCCTAGCTCTGCCCCGGATTGTGCGACGGATTAGGTGTAGTCAGATCAGCTCGACTTCCTCGCATTGGTTGAATGGGATGAAGATGCCGAATGTGACGAGCAGCTTCCAATATATATGCGCTACATGATTGCATGGAAGCTTATGTTCAACCGTAAGAAGGTAGGCAGAGTGACCGAAAAAGATTTGGTTGTATCTCCCGTAGACAAGGAGACTCACGAAGTCCGTCTTTTTTATTCCGCTATGGAAAGGATTGTGCATTGGATGAGTGGCGTTGTATTACTATACCAGATTCCGAGCGAAGGCTCACTGATACCCGAATCTTCTTGATAGAAGGCTCGATGATATTCCCGGTAAAACGGCCGGGGCTCTTCGTCTGGAACGATTCCAAAACTGGTTCCATGGTAGCTGGGAGTCGGAATACGAAAAACGATTCACTGTGGATCTTCAGAGACACCAATCCATTGTTCAAAAGCATGACCCGGGATTACTTGGTGCCAGAAGAAGACACAAGCTGTTAATCCTGCTTCATCATATCTATCATGCCTCAAACGACGACTCACAGGAAGTGGAAGCTGCTTTGGAGAGACGACATCCTCGAATTTACGAGCAGTGGGATCCTCGATTTTGGTCGAATAGTTTGGGGGGTTTGTATGCCCAGCCTCAGCTTCCAGTGGATCGAGAACAGGTTGAGCCAGCGATATTGGTATAGGGTGTATTGGAGTTACCGGAAATTCACGGTGTTCGGGATGATTTTGCGTGGAGCAACCAGCACTACTTACACCATCAACGACACAGAATGGCGTTGATATTGCCCAGAAAATCAGCGTATCCTACAAATCTAAATTATTCGGAATAAACGACAGCTTTTTGCCTACGAGAGTAGTCGGCGGCGTATGCGGCCTCTGCCCTTAACGGCGTATGATTTTAGTGATCATATTTCGTATGATACAACAATAGATACAACTCACTAGATCTTAAAAGGCAATGGTGAAAAGCGTAGTAAGCATTGTAGCATGAATACGTGCGATTGTTGAGCAAGTCGGACCTACCCTAGCAATTCACAAGGAACCATTCGCAAGAGATATTACAAAGAATTATTAGACACTATTTTCCGTCTATAATGCTTAATGCACTTAATGTCTCTACAAGTCTCCGAGTCCTATCGTGATCTGGACCTAGGGCCTTCTCACAGCCTGCTAGTGCTCGACGGTATATCTCTGCCTCCTTCAGCTTGCCCTAGTTAGATAAGAGACCCCTAAGGTTACTGACTGTTTTGAGAGTAGACGTATTATCTGGACCTAGGGCCTTCCTATAGCCTACTAGTGCTCGCAGATACATCTCCTCTGCCTCCTTTAGCTTGCCTTGGCCAGAGCGGACAAGCCTAAGGTTGTGGACCGTATGGAGAGTAGACGTATGAAGAGGAAGTAATTAGACGTGAACATGTCGTAATGTGAATAATGATATATACGGCGTGATGCTGTCTTTTGTAGATGTGAAAATTCCTCCGATCACGATTGGTGATCCTGAGGTCAGATGTACCTTGTTTAATCCGTAAGTTATAAAAGAAACTCATATTTGGCTTGCTTGCGTTCATACAATAGTGTCTAAAGATGCTAAGACTTTAGTGACCATTTTAGTGCAGGGTACATTATTACTAGGAGGTCTAAACCCCGTAAATAGGATAGCCAGGGTACTAACTTCGGGTCTACATTGCATCAAGATAGTATTAATAGTAAATATTGTAAACTATTTTGGCGCTCATCGCCTTACATCCAGGGCATCGACACTGCAATCTAACGGTAAAGGAAGATCCAGACAGTCAAGGTAGGGACGACAATAGCTAATCGGAATATCACCGAGAAAAGTTCCTCCGGAGTTTGAGGGAATTCGGATCCGGCCCGGGGCATTTCTTCCTTTTCATCGGAGTGTGCCGAGCCCGGGACAGTGGTATGTGGGTTGCTGTCGGGGGCTACATTTGGCTCCGAGGGACCCTGGTCTGATCCAACAGCAAGGCGGTATACCGTAATGTAAAGGGTTGGAATCACTATAATCTCAATGATACACGAGAGCTTTTCCTGTGTCAAACCTATAGCCCGTGTGCTCAAGGCTAGAGCAACGTAAGGAGTCGAAATTGTAGGTATGAAGATTATCAATATGGCTTTGAGGACCTGGTGGATGATTGGAGAGGCTTCGGCAAGGTCTTGGAATTTCTGCTGCATCCGCTGTAGGATGTGGATTCGGTTGGGCAGACCGGTGATCAGAGGCGTAAAAAGAAAAAGGCGGATGACTAGTAATGTGGAGGCAATGTAGGTGAATGTGGATATGAACAAAGCAGTACACACGTCGTATAGCATGGAGAGCACACCACTGAGGATGTTACCTTCCAACAGCTTGCCGGCAAGTTGGAGCGTCACTGGCCCCAGTTCATAGTGTAAAAGCCAGGTGGTCAACACTACCTCGATCAATGTCCAAGACAAACAGATTGCTCGCACAGCTATATGCAAGGTCACGTAAATTAGACAACGCCAGTGTCTACATGTCCATCGGGCCGGGACACTTAGATCAAAGACTCCTTTCAAGTTAGGACTTTGCTCCAGAAGAAAGGAATGTGAGGCGGATGTGATACCCGGCTCGGCTGCTAATTGCGAGAGCTGGCGGACGCGATCGCAGAGATTATCTGTTAGAGCAGGGGTCGATATAATGTTTCTATGCTCGTTTCTTTTCTCAGATCCACTCGCTTTGCCCTCGTTCTCAACATGGTCTTGCGTGAGATGATCGGTAGAAAAGACAGATCCCTTCACCAGTACACGGCGAGGCCAGCCTCCACGGACTTCATACGAAGTCACATAGTAAAACGTCGGAAGCTCAGCCAGCACGGTCTGCGCGATTAATGTCGTCGTAATCACTTGGATCGATCGATCATTCGCTGACGCTAGCAGCATCATATATAGGGGGAGTGTTGCTCCGGTGAGAAAGGCACGCCGTGCGAAACGCGACCAGAACCCGCGTCCGAGGTCAGGTTGGAAACCATCATGTACGAGGAGCGTTAGACTGACATGTGTTTCGGCGAGGTTCAAGATGCTGTAGCCGATTAACAGGATGACTACATTCATGGCGATTGCACCGGACTGGAATGGAGAGAAAAGCCAGATGTTCCACTTGACACCTTGAAAGAACGATCTTTGTAGATTGGGACTGATGAGGTAACTGATCGTCGCGGTGAGGAGAGAAAAAGTGGCTAGCAGCGACGCTGCGTGTTCGGAGAGCGCCATGTAGTTAGAGGTAAAACTCTGCAAGGATTCGACGACAAGAGGCTTAGGTCTATACCCGAGGTCCCGGGGTAGGTAGCAGACTGGTATTGATATTCAGACGACTGCCTTTAGTGCTTCTAGTCCTGCCACTGGCGATTTGCTCGAACAAAGCACTGTGAAGAAGGTAGAAGGAGTGGGTTTTGCGGTGGCTGTGGAGATGTGGTTATTCTGGCCCCCACGTCCCTTTGAAGATCAGGGGCTGCGAGGCTGCACCTGTGCCTCTCCATCTCGTATAAATAAACCCAGGGCAACGTGAGGCACTTCGCTTGTGCCCTGTCGTGACTCCGTCCACTTTGAACCGCCAACTACATTCACCACGAGCCCCCTTAGTAGGCCTGGAGAGCCTTCACCTTATATACTTCAGAGATTATCTGCGTCCAAATTCCTTAGGAAGAGAGTTCCTCTGCCTATTAATAATGAGGATTGCCCACAGGAACCAAATTGGTCCATTTACGTACCTGCTTTTCCACTGGTTTCCAGTCGATAGTAGAAGGAAAAGTTCGTTCGAGGTTTTTCTGGCACCGGGAGTCCACTTTAACAGTAACAGCCGTGCCTTCAGATCAAACTCGCTGGCTATTTTTCTTTTTCATTTGCAGCATTTCTTCAACAGCTAGTTCCAAAGTCTTCGCCCAGTAAAGCTGCAATCACATCAGAGTAGGCTGATGATATTCGATAATACCAATTTGGAAGGCACATGAAAGGGATAATCGCAATATCATGATCGGGCCGATATCCGATACTCTTTTGCGGTTTCCCGTCATTTGACCAGTCCCCTAGTAGGCTCACGCACACCGAAGGAGCAGAAGATGTTGTCTTTAATGTATCGACGAGTTGGATGACCTTTAGCCAAATTTGCACGATCTGACCACGATCTTCTGGGGAGGGAGTTGAGATGTTAACAAACAACTTACCCCCGACTTTTGCCCAAGGAAAGCCATGAAGATAGCTGCGAACGGCTTCGATATTCTTCAACTCCCATCCTTGGCTGCTGGCTCGCCTGGTAGTAAAATTGAATCTCAGCCTTGCCCCAACTTGAGACTCGTGTTCAAAGTCCCGGAAAAGATGATCTGATATCTCTTGATAGAGATATCGACTGCAACGCAAGATAGCTAAAGCAAAAGGGGCTGAATGTATTGCTGAATGTATTGCTGAATGTATTGCTGAATGTATTTCTTCGAAGACAGATTCCCATATCATCCAACGAACGTCAAGCGGGATATTTATGAATGTTCCCAGTGGCGTAACGGCGGGGTCTTGAGATGCAGATTTGTCTTCATCAAGATTCATGGGGTTAGGTTGATTGTGTAAATGAGAGAGGTCAAGATGAGCAGCTAGAAAATCTCTTAGCTACCACACACCCGTGTCGAGTCAATAGTCCCTGACCTTGTTTTGAAATTGGTTCAAGGTACATAGGTTGTAAGGTTGTAATAGGAGTGATATTCCGATGCAGTTGAAAGTTTTGGAAGAAGCAGGCACTGAAATTTAAATTGGCGGTGTGGACTCTCAGGAAACGTCAAGTATACCTAGGTAGTCCATGAGTCAAGATTACGTGAAATGGTTGCGGCCCGGGCCTTCAAATTTGGTCCAAACTATCATGTTCAAAATAATTTAGTAGGAAAAAGAAAGCCTTTGTTTCAGCTTCCATCGTAATACACCCGTCGGTGGTGCCAAGACCTACCGTCCGACTTCACTCCTGCGAAGGCCCGGAATTGCCTACTCAGGAAGCGTGATAACCTCAGTAATGTGACTTGTTGTCGCCATTGAATCTGCCGGAGATAGCGATATCTCGCAGAGATTCAGTTGTCACCTTGGGTCGAAACAACAACCGGTGCCCTCCAAGGCTGCCTATCTAGGTACCCGTGGGCGAATTGAGACCTTATTAACCGTGATGAACTCCGTACGAGTAGATCACCGCTGGAGTGTTGTGGAGGCATCCATGTCAATTGACTCCACTCCAGTCCGGTTGGTTGGTATAAGTTGGGTAGAAGTTGCGTTCAAGAGGGTATTGCTCTTATGAGGAGAGTAGCTTTCGAGAATCCCGACGTTGGCATGCGAACGTTGAAGTGTAACTGGATCGACCAACACCTCGCGCGTATTGAGCAGCAGTATAATAGTTGGGCCACGACCGCGAAGACAAACCTCCAGAACGTGAACCAAATCAGCAAGGTTAAACCGCAGGAAATCAGGGATGTCAACAATTTCATCGCCCAGTATATGAACAATGGTGGTGGCGCCAGCCCTAGCGATGCGACCTTCCCACGGAACCCAGCTGCCGTCCCGGGCCAGGCTAGTGTGTACGAAATGTTGGGGAGGTAACGGCTATGGTGGTGCCCTAGGTCTCTGAGCGATCCAGTAAGAGAGGAGAAGACCATGTAGGTTGTTTTTCCCTTATTTCTTTTTCTTGAGTATGGATTTGTTAAGTAGAAGTAATGCACAATATTGTCAAGCGGACAGCGGCCGGACGCATCGTATTTTATTATCTATCTATACACATCCAGAAAATCGGTGTATCAATCTCTCATAAAAACAAGACAAAACCTATGTGGGGCGGGATTTACTGGCACGGTGGGCTGTGGTGGGAACAAGAAGCAGATCGTCATCTTCTCATTTCTTGGTGATAGGAACGGGACCAGTTAGTAGCCTCCATCCCCCACTCCCATTTTCAACCATCTGGTCGACCTTCTTCTATCTTTCAAACGTCATGGTGAGAACGGCTCAGATTGCACGGTATCCATCTGATCCAATTGACCGATGGATTCAACGGGAATATGCCGACCATCAAGGCAACACTGTCATTCTGGGGAAGTTTCCCTATGAAAGCCAGTTCTATCGGCCGGAGGAAGGTGGAGCTTACCGACTTCAAGTATACAGCACCACTCCTATCCAGACAGAGGAGCTTAACAAGTTGTACGCATATTTCTGCTTTGACCTCACCTGGCCTCCCTTTCTAGAAATTTACTCCTACAACCCACCGGATGGTCTAGCCTGCGTCGAGCATCAGCGTCGTGAAATTGCTCATCGCAAGCGTCTCCAAGCCGAACAGCGCGAAGGCGAATATGACGAGTCTCTTCCCCCCTTGATTCCAACGATGCGAACCGGCTTCGAGGATATGTTCATGTCGGGATTCTGTTTCCTTCTCACGTCGAAGAGCTACCTCCAGGGTTCATTCCAAGACAATGACCACGGCACGGGCCCCTGGTGGATTAGCTTCGATCGGAGTCTTCCGTCTACAGTGAAGAAGCTGGACATGATTAAACGTCTTGACAATCCGCCGAGTAAGCTTCAAACTTTCAAGGAATGGGGGATTTCAGTCAATCCGGAAATTCGCGATATCAATGTGAATATTACGACAAGCCAGAGCATAATAAGGTGGGACATGAAAGAGCTTATGCGAGGAATCTATTCGACGTATGTTTATAACCAAATTGATTATGGACTCCATGAACCACCCCCGCCCCCACCGTCCGAGGAGACTCCGACCTTGCAACACATCCAGGAGGTTTTAGAGCAGCAGCAAACGGCAGAAGTCCAGTCTATAGACTCGACCGTACTTCGCCTTATATGGGGACCTGAAAACAATATTGTCACAGTCACAAATAACTCTTCGGATGGGGAATGCGACCTTCAATACGTGATCTACGTCCAGTTCCTCGCGGCTATCGAGCAGGAAAAGACCGCCCTACTGGAGACCACTGCACGCATATTCGCCGCTGGCATTATCTCCCATCTCCCTGCCTCCAAAACGATTTACTTTGAGTTCCGGATTCCTGGTACCTCCTTGTCTTCCCTTATATCCGCTGCCCCCAACGGATTCGAGGTTGGTGCCTCCCATGAATTTGAGGCGGGCTCGGTCATGCGAGCACTGCCTCAGATTAGCCGTGATGTTTCTATCAGCCCTATACCACATCACTTCTTTACTGTGGTTCTTGATAAGCCTGCCTTCATCCAAGAACCCAGTGTGCTATTCTACACCCTGTGGACCGACCCTCGGCAATACATTGAACTGCAGGGTATCGATACGGTAATTGAGACTCTGCGGAGCGCTGGTATTAAAGAAGCTGCAAGAAGGCTTGCAATGCTAGCGGTGGAGGAGAAATTCCAGGATTGTCCAAGGAAGCTCACGCGAGAGGAGCATAAGGAATTATTGTCTTTGTCGCCAGAGGAGTACTGTGTGGACTTGATAGGTTGAAGCTGGAGAGATTGGGAATTATATGTTATTGTTCCACGGTTAACACCTAAGACATTAATCAATAATCCCTAGGAGGTGCTTGTCACCTCCACACGCTTCTTTCCTCTTTGGTCAGCACTTGACTTTTACAATTCACTTGTCTATCAACTTCATTAGAGCGTCTCTATTTCTTCTGAAACTTGAAGCTGCTCAACTTTCCGTCTCCTTTACCTCGCCGCAACGTCCCGCTCTGGGGACTTCAATCACTTGTGCGGTAATGAAGTCAAACTCGACCAGCCTTCCCTCTCGCCCCCTAGGACGTCTGTTCCCGAGGAGAGACTATCTGAAGAATACCAAACGATGACTCAGCGGGAATACGATCCAGGGTTGGGGCCTCCGTTTGCCGTCATAAAGTTCTCCTGTCACAGTCTCCTGGACCCTACTCAACTGGGCTTCATGCGTATCTATTTGCAAATCCCTATTGATTGTACCTTTTCTAGCGCTCCAGAAGTCCCAGCCCGGCAGGCTGTCAGCCAGCGCACGCACGCGGAGCTCACAGTGCTTGCGACTCTCGATCGCGAAAACTGTAAGCAGTACCGAAATTGCTTGGCCATGGGGAAAGGTTGAAAAGTACCCAAGAATACGTGCCTGGTGGCTATATCAACTACGTTGCGTGGGCACGGGTGCCTGGTGAGCCCGTCGGCTTCTATTCTTTCTGGATAAGCGACTTTAAATACCGTAGGAAGTGCGTTCCGCCTTTCGTACAGCCTATGAGTAAGATTATAACCCTTATACCTATATCCACCCTTTAAGAGCTACCTATACTAATATAAAGAAGGGAACTCAATAGGTGTTCCTAGCGACCTAGACTTACCCCTACAAGAAAGCTTATATATAATCATATCACTAAGGTTATATAGGTGGTTACGACATTCCATTTACCTAACTAATCTATAAACGCCGATCGCGATGAGCTAATTATTTTTAGACACATTTCCGGTTTCTGTGTTCCTTATCGAATGGACACTAAGCCATTCTCAAACTCGACTTACGCGATATTGGGATTGGCAAAGCCATCTGACAGGATGGACTGGCATCTTGATAGCTCTAACTGGACCTGGTAACCAATGTGGATATCCGTACATCGCTTTTTAGACAATGGCAATGACTTTCCGCATACGGGATTGTATCCCTGAGTTACTGATTATGGCTATGTTGCTGCCCAGTGTGCATGTATCTGTCATTGGACTGTTGCTTTTCAATAAGACGCCTATTGTACCCTTTCACTGCTGATGGCCCTTTATATTGTGGAAGATCAACGTAAAATACCTTCAGATTATGCAACATAAACCTATTCTAAGGTCGACTGCACTACTTAGTCATTCGAGCCCGGAAACAGATATCAGATGAAAGGATGCTTATCAGTCCACGCACAGAGTATAACGTCTCAAATTTTAATACGTGACGGGTTTGAGTCATATTGGATTGTATGGTTAAAGCTGAGTGTGACGGGCTGGGATGGAGGAGGGAGAAGAAGAAAAGGAGTTCGGAAAGGGAACGGGTCTCAATACCTTCAGTGTGGTGACGCGTGAAGGTAGATCTGCGCAATAACAATAGATAACTTTTGCGAATCACTTGCACAAGTATTAGTCGGCCGCTTATACGGTTGTCATATATCTTTTTAGGGCTCGTAGTCTCATGTAGTCTTTTTCGACGTCTGGCTATGTAGATATTTTCTTCCCCTTCCCAGTTTGTTCCAGTTTGTTGGGTAAACGGCAGAAAAGGACCAAAAGGGCTTAATCTGTGAAGGTGACTCTCCTATGTATAACCTTTGATTGACCCATTTATTACCCAGCCCTATTCAGCAGACATAGTGAGTATAATTCTCTGCACGATATACGTATCGATGTTTATAGCGAAACGTGTCTTACTGTATTGTTTTGATGAGGGATTCTCGGTTTGTGGCTTGAATAGGACGGATACGAGGGCTGATACTCCCATAGTTGGCGTATAAGCCCAATAACCATATCTCCTGTTAAGGCTATACTATGTTCACCTAGATTTGAAGCGGGGCAGCCGATAAGCAACTCAAAGGGAAGGCATATTGTGAAGCCACTTAGGGATAGATGATGAAGAAGGAAGAAAAAAAGAGAAGAAGGTGTAGATAACGGGGCTCTTTTATATCTTCCCTTAGTTAAATTCTAGTCTACCTCCGACTTCCACACTATATCGACTATGCCTAAATAAGATAATACCTAGGTTATGCCCGCGGATATAGTGCCTATCTTAACACGGACTAAGCCTAAATTAGACTAATTCTAATCTATAAAGTCTATCGTCGCGAAAGTGCTTCGGGCGCTATATTAGGTAGCGGATAGCTCCTACCTAGCTATGTGCCTAGGCCTTGACAAGTGCAGCGGTACTGGTGCATTGGCTGCACCAAGGCCTTAGTTCGGTGCAGTTGTACGTGGGGCCGACTGCACCAAGGGCGAGGTTCGGTGCAGCGGTACTTTGGCTGCAGTGCAGCTGCACTGTAAACAATACAAACATTGCCTAATTCGGCTTATCGCGTGACTTATATATGTAATTTTCTAACATATAATTTAATATATTTCGTTAAACAGGCACACAGTAAGCCTTGACAAGTGCAGCTGCACCTTGAGAAATTTGGTGCAATTGCCCGGTGCAGCGAACCCTGGTGCAGCTGCACCTCTTGGCAGTGCAGCCAGGTGCTGCCAAGGCCAGATTTTGCCAAGAAATTACCCCATTCGGCTTGATACCGCCGAT